CAATCCCCCCCAAATTCGTATGTTGAAGCCCTAACTCCCAATGTGATGGTATTGGGAAGTCGGTCTTTCGGGAGGTAACTAGGTTTAGATGAGGTCATGAGGGTGAGACCCCTGTTATGGGGTTACCGTCCTTATGAAAAGTGGAGTAGAGATGAGAGTTCTCTCTCCACCATGTGAGCATGCAGGGAGAAGGTGGCTATGTGGGAGCCTTTTAGTGATCTGTATTTTACTTTAGGTAATTTAAGAATACAAAACATTGTATTTTTTTCATACTGTTGATCTTTATGTGTATTTGCCCCGGTATTGTTCTTTATTGCTTCTGGCAGCCCAATACTCTATTGAATGAATGATCTTTAAATTACCTTTAGTGATGTATTTTCTCTGTTTGTCTGTATTTTTGAATGATATAATTTCTGTGTATCGAACACTTGCTGGCATTTATTTTCTTTCAGAAGTTGGTGACATCACTCCATTGTCTTTTTTTTTTCCATTATTTTTTGTTAGGACATCAGAAAAAGAGCTATTACTCTTTTTATTGAAAAATCAGTGGATTGATGGTAATAACCTTTTTCCTCTAATTTTAACATGTTCTGTTTAATTTTTCCTTTTCCGCTGTATGACTTTGAAGTGCCTAGGAGTTTGCTTTGTTTTGTTTTATATTGATCCTCCTTGTAGTCTATTGTGTTTCTTGAATATTTGGCTTATGCTTTATGTCAGTTTTGGAAAATATTTATGTTATTACATTCAAATATTGCTTTTTGCTCCAGGAAACTCTCCTTCTGGATCTCCAGATACATGTATATTTGACCTTTCCAGCTCATGTCATATAGTCTTTAAGATTTTTATTCATGTTTTAATTTACTTATTTATTTATCCATCTGTCTATTTATTTATTATACTTTATCCTTTCACTTCTCTAGATACACAAAATTATCTATAGTCTGGATATAACCAAAGTTATTTTTCAAATACTTTGATTCTTTCTTCAATTGTGCCTAATATGATTAAACCCACCCATTTAGTCTTTAATTTCAGTAATTTTTTAGTATCTCCATTTTGTTTTTAATAGTTTCAAATTTGTTGCTTAAATTCTATACTTTGCGATGTAAATTTTGGCTATATTAATTAAAATTATTATTATTACTATTTATTTATTTTTTGCTGAGGAAGATTAGCCCTGAGCTAACATCTGTGCAATATTCCTCTACTTTATATGTGGGTCGCTGCCAGCCCATGGCTGACAAGTGTTGTAGGTCCACGCCCAGGGTCTGAATCCATTAACCCGGGTAGCCAAAGCAGAATGCACTGAACTTAACCACTATGCCATGGGACCGGCCCCTCTAAATTATTATTCCTATTTTTTTGAGGAAGATTAGCTCTGAACTAACTACTGCCAATCCTCCTCTTTTTGTTGAGGAAGACTGGCCCTGAGCTAACATCCATTTTCATCTTCCTCTACTTTATATGTGGGACACCTACTACAGCATGGCTTTTGCCAAGCTGTGCCATGTCTGCACCCAGGATCTGAATCAGCGAACCCCGGACCACCGAGAAGTGGAACGTGTGAACTTAACCACTGCGCCATCGTGCTGGCCCTCTAAATTGTTGCAATGTCTGTGTATACTAAACCCAATAGCCCTGTCTTCTTTGGATCTAATACTTTTTCCTCTTTTTCTTGAGTTTTGTTCAATTCTTATATTTTGCATTCTTGGTTAGATTTTAACGAATGTCATGAGAAATTATGAGGATGATTCAAGATCCTTGCTAATATTTTCCTGCAGAAATTATTTCATTTTACTTCTGATTAGAGTGACCAACCATGCTAATTTGTGGCTGAGGGGTCTCCCAGGGTGTAGTATTTTCTGAGATAAAGCTAAGAAAGTCTGGAAAAACTGGGGTGGTTGATCCCCCTAATTCTTACAGACAGAGTTGGAAAATTAGGTAGTGAGTTGATTTTAAAAATCTATGTTAGGCTAGTGTATTTCTAATTTTCCCTTACTCCAAGGTGTAAGTTTTCTGAAATCCAAATAAATACCTAGGTATTTACCAGTCCCCATCATCCAAGGGGATCCCTGCGGTCCAGTTTTTGTCCCTCTATACTCCAGCCCCTTGAGAATGCTAGAAGCTCTTCTCAATTTGTCAGCTATTTCTTTTGAAGTAACAAATCGCTTAAGGGGAAAAATGGCACCAAATATCAGGCTCACTTCTCTATGCTTTCTTTGTCTTTGGAGTCTTGGCCTTTGCATCCTCATTGCATTGGATGCTCGCTGAAGTCATTTACAAAATATTTCTCTAACTTTTCTAATTCTTCTTGGTAGGAGGACTGGTCTGAAACAAAATAATATTCCTGTGATTAATATGGAAATGCCTATAACATTTCATGCATTTTTCTCGTGTTTTAAATCATAATGTACTTTATTAGTATAATGATGGATCTGAATATAATGATGTATCATTTTGTCCTTTTGAGGATATAAAAGATCAAGGTAGGTCCGGCCCTGTGGCTGAGAGGTTAAGTTCATGCACCCTGCTGCGGCGGCCCAGGGTTTTGTTGGTTCGGATTCTGGGCGTGGACATGACACCGCTCGTCAGGCCACGTTAAGGCAGCATCACACATGCCACAACTAGAAGGACCTGCAACTAACACATACAACAATGTATCGGGGCGGGGGGGGGGGGGTTGGAGAGATAAAGCAGAAAAAAAAAGGTAGTTTCAAAAGGTCTAAATTATAAGTTAGGATAGTAAATATAATGACAGAAAAAGAGCCAAACCTGATGGTTTTCCTTAGAGTCATATTGGATTCCGCTTATTATTCAATTTCATAGACACTCAGAGACTTCTTTTCACTGTGTGGTTTTCTAGGATTTTGTCTGATCTAGGGTCTATCTCTGAGATTGGACTTCATGAAATTAGAGTGATAAAGATGGGAAAGAATGAAGCTAGAAGGTGGCTCGTGTATGGAGTCCTTTCTAGGATGGAGCTAAAAGGTATCCATTAAATTAGCCATGAGCTGACAAACAGTACATTTATAATCTCAATGTCTTGGTGCCCTTAAGTATAGGAGTAAACATATTTAGGAAGCCTCAAGATTTACCATGCAATCTTAGACAGAAAATGAAAGTAGATACCTAAGATTCTCATTTTATTTCAAGCCACCTGACAACCTGGTCCCATCATTTTTTCTTGTATTTATCTAGCTATAGGATGTCCTTCTGCAGACACTCTAAAGATATCCCTTCTTGTCCTCTCCTCTCAAGGAATCACCACTGTCTCATTCCCCTGGTCATCTATGGGATGGCCCTTCCTGTGGGTTTACCTACTTGGTTTCACTTGATATTTCTAAGTTTTCTGCAAAGTTCTTTCAACTCTCATTGGGCTATAAATCTAGGGTATACTTATAGACAACTTAAGATCCCTAGTTCTTAATAGGGCACCTGGAAACCTGGAAGTAGAGTCATGGAATTAACTTTTACAAAAGATCTTTTGCTGCTTTGGCATCTCTACAAAGCACAATGCAAGCAAACAATTTAAAATTTTTTAAAAATCACATTCAAGAGCTTTACTTATGTAGGAGAGTGTTATAAGGTTTGTTTGAAATTGGTTCTGGGGCTGGCCCCGTGGCTGAGTGGCTAAGTTCGTGTGCTCCACTTCAGTGTCCCAGGGTCTTACCAGTTCGGATCCTGAGCGCGGACATGGCACTGCTCAACAGGCCATGCTGAGGTGGCATCCCACATAACACAACCAGAAGGACCTACATGTAGAATATACAACTTTGTACTGGGGGCTTTAGGGAGAAGATGAAGAAGGAAAAATAAAAGACGATTGGCAACAGATGTTAGCACAGGTGCCAATCTTTATTAAAAAAAAGAATAAATTGGTTCTAAGCATCACTCCAGGAAGTACAATGTAAAGCAGAGACAAAGGTAGAACAAAAACTATTTTTAAGCTCCTTGAAAGAAGAGACCTTGTCTCTTTTGTCACCACTTTATCTCCAGGGCCTAGATTTGTGCTTGACCCATTGATTGTGCCCAGTTAATGCTACTTGATTGACCACTAAGAGAATGCAAGGAGCTGCAGTTCTTGCCTAGTTGACAGTATAGTTTAGGAGTTAACAGCTTAGACTCTGCAGTTTGACCCAATTGGATTCCAATGCTAGCTCTTGGATGTATAGTTTTGAGCAAGATGCTTAGTATATCTGAGCACCAGTTTTTTATCTGAAAAATAATAAGGATTGCATTAATCCTACCTCATAGAGCTGTTGTGGGAAGTGATTGAAATAATAAATATAAAGTACCTAGTATACATTTGCTTTTTGAAAGTCTTGGTTCCTTTCCTTGGAACTATAAATGCAAAATTTTTACGTTATTTTAAATGTCTGCAAAGGAATATTATCACACAGAAAATATTAATGTCCACAAAGGAAATGCTTGCTTTTTTGAAAATTTCTGCATGTTGGGTGGGAGATCTTTAGAATTTTGCAAAATGAACAATATTTGTAATCTTTGGGACTCCCAACATGGGCCCTCGAGGAGGCTGAGTGAATACCACATCAGAGCTGGTACTGGAAGCCTCCTTTGAGCTAGCTAGTGTGTCCTCCTGCTATTGAGGTACCAACAACTCAGGAGAAGGTAATTCATTTTACTTCCACTTCCCCTAGAACGGAGGCTCAATAGATTTCTCAGGACACCTGTCAACTCCTGATTACCTTTCCATATGGAAAGTGCTATGTTTTCATCAACAATTCTTCCTGCATTTCGACTCCAGCTATGTAAAGTAATGGAAAACCTCATGTCACACAACATGTTTTAAAATAACTTGAATTCTTTACAGTGTTGTCATGCATAATCCATCCTCACTTGTACCCCAACTCCAGTTCACTGCCAAATTACAGAGAACTTCCTATTAAATAACAAATTTTAAGATAACATCATTTCCATTACATGCAAGCTAGGACCACCTGTGATTATAGAAAAATATCCCTTCCTACTTTGTCCTTTGTCTAAACTCTGGTTCTTTTCTCTGACAGTATTCGGGCAATGCCATGACGGATCTCCTTGGTCTTAATGCTGTAGACAATAGGGTTGACAAGAGGTGAAAAGAAAAGGTATGCACTGGCCATCATAGCATGCAACAAAGGGGACACATGGTGTCCAAAGCGGTGCACCAGAGATAAGCCAATCATAGGCACGTAGTAAGTGAGCACAGCACAGATATGTGAGCCACATGTGTTGAGCGCCTTCTTTCGCCCCTGCCCAGTGGCGATATGCAATACAGTGTGGAGAATGCACCCATAGGATATCACAATGAGTAGGGAATCCAGCCCAAAAGTGGAGGTAACAATGAAAAGTCCATAGATATTGTTGATAGAAATGTCCTCACAAGGTAGATGGATAAGGTTGGGATGGAGGCAATAAGAATGGGAGAGGGCATTATGGCCACAGAAGGGCAGGCGCCTTAGGAGCATGGGCAATGGGGCCATGAGCATAATGCTTTTCAATCCAATGATAACTCCTGTGCCAAGGATACGGGGCAAGGTTAGGATGGCTGTATAGCGCAGTGGGCTGTAGATGGCCACAAATCGGTCCACAGACATGGCCAGCAACACTGCTGATTCCATAATGGAGAAAGAATGGATAGAGAACATCTGAAGAAGGCATGCATCAAAACTAATTTCATTGGTGCCAAAAAGAAAGATGCCTAGCACTGTAGGCAGAGTGGATGCAGAGACACCAACCTCAGCCAGTGCCAACATGGCAAGAAAGAGGTACATGGGCTGGTGTAGGGCAGCATCTGTTCTGATGACATGAAGAATGGTGCCATTCCCAAGGAAGATGATAATGTACATCAAACAGAAAGGGATGGATATCCAGATGTGCTCTGCCTCCAGGTCTGGGATGCCAACCAGAATGAACATTGTAGGTAAGAATTCCAAAGAGCTATTAGAGTGCTTCATGTTGAAGCCTCATCCCACGGAATCAGTGCTCCCCTGAAAATTAGAAACAAACTAGGTTAATGTCATTTTAATGGAGAAAGATCCCTGGACACTGAGGAAGGGGGAGAAGAAAACAAAGCTCATAGATTCAGATGGCCAGAGGTCTCCTGCCTGAAAATTGACAAAGGATCACCATCAGGAAATTCCCAGTATTAAGGAGGTTACAGTCTCCATCAAAGTAAAGTTCAAGACTAATAGAAAATTATCCCTCTAAATTGCAGTTCACCTTTGATCTGCTAAGGAAAAAAATGGCTGCCTTGTCTTGGTATGGAGATGCCTGACTCTAGAAAGCCTCTGAGGAGACAAGCACGAATAGGCAATGTCAGCATAAGATATGAACTAATGTCAGAAATAGGTGAACAGAGATGATATTGGTAAATATATAGATATAAGGCAAAGAGTACACTATACAAAAACAACTAAAAATACATGATGAGTGAATATAGATATATGAATAATCGAAGTCCAAAGCAAGGCTAAGAGGTGATTAGAGCCTAGAGCCTAGAGCAAGTGACTGGAAAATTAAACTAGAAAAGAATGGAGCTTAGACCCACACTGGGTTTGGGTGTTCTGGGCTTTGAAAAGACTAGGAAGCAACTGGAAAGATTATGTGTAAAGGACAGAATGAGGCAGGAACCAAGGTTGGTGGATTTGTATGCAGACTTTAAGGCTCATGAAAATATTCTGTCATGATGATATTCACAATCTCTTGACTCTCAGTTCCTGAAGACAACCTATCTGATCCACTGGGACTTCTTTCTGATTCAGACACACTTCTGAATATACTGCAACAACATGGGACCATAAACAAACTTTCAAGGAAGGTTTTCCTGAACAGGAAAGGAAGGCAACAGAGGGTAGCAGAAAACCGTCTCTCTAAATTGGGTGTGTTTTAAGCTGAGCACTGTCTGGGCCAGCACAGGAGTAAAAATAGAATCCTGGACTGACAGGGTAGGAAGGATCTCTACAGGTATTTTTAAACTCATTCACCCAAACACACACACACACACACACACACATCTGCTCATATACTTGCACATGCACATATTTCCACCCTTGCTGAAGTCTCATCAGCATCTTCTGTGATATGAACTCTCTATTCAGCCAGTGCTGAACTTAGAGGGAACTCGCTATTACACGTTGATTATTATCAAGTTCTTCTTTGCAGGTTAAGCAGATACTCATTCAAAAACTGCCCTGATTGGGGCTGGCCCCGTGGCTGAGTGGTTAAGTTCGCGCGCTCCGCTGCAGGCGGCCCAGTGTTTCGTTGGTTCATATCCTGGGCGCGGACATGGCACTGCTCGTCAGACCACGCTGAGGCAGCGTCCCACATACCACAACTAGAAGAACCCACTACGAAGAATACACAACTATGTACCGGGGGGCTTTGGGGAGAAAAAGGAAAAAATAAAATCTTTAAAAAAAAAAAAAAATTTGAAAAAAACTGCCCTGATTAGAAATAAATATATCAATGGGTGAATCACAATTCATTAGCTTACAATGATGATGGAGTCAACTACTACTAGTTATATAATATTTTATGAGAGAAGGGCATACAGACAGAGCTAACTTCATACAGATTCCATTAGACAACTGGATTTATAACAAGTTTTTAAATAAGAAAGGGGCAAAGCTAGCTTTCTTTTCAGAATCAAAAAGCCGAACAAATGTGAAAATTATGGTACTTAACTTTCACAAATTTGAGCCTCCACTAATCAGGCAACCAGGGTTTACATTTTTAACAGTCCTTTTACATACACTGCATCTGCTCTATCTTACTTCAAGTTTTATCTTCATTCCCAATTATGCCGATTGCATTGTTACTCAAAAAGAAAAAGTCTTCCCAGTTATTGTCAGAAACGATTTGACTTACTCCCTCCACTACTCAGCAAACTACAGAGAGGATGCCCATCTGTAACCAATCATCGCTTCTTTATGCCGTGCACCATACAAGACCCTAGCCCTACTCAAACAAATCTCTGCAACTTTCAATCACAGGTCAAAGAACACATCTTCTCCCACAAATGTTCAAATACAGTCATCACATGCATTGGAGTCCTCTCTCTAATCTGGTTCAATTATGTTACATGCTACAAAAGAAAAGTTCAGGATACAACGGGAGGAATCTACATGGAAAAACTTAATTTATTCCTAAAAATCAGGAAAATCATTCCTTGGAAAGTGATATTTCAACTGAGACCTGAGGAATTAGTAGAATTTTTCCAAGCTAAATTGAGAAGTTGGGTGTAGACTCATGCAGAAAACAATTACCATGGAAATGGGTATGTAAGATTACACTTTGACAGGAACTAAAAAAAAACATGGAGAAAGCGAAAATTGTCTATGGATATTAAAATTGATTTTTTCATAATTTTTCCTATCATGTTTTCATGATAGGAAAAATTGAAAAAAAAAAAGAAAAAGAGAAAGGCTATAGCCTGCCTAAATACAACATCCCTGTGTACCTATTATAGTCTGATGGAGTTTACCTCAGCAAATATTTGCTTAGGAAAAACCTTGTTTTGGAAGCAGTGCTAACATTTAGGGTAGAGAAATTCAGGGACAAATTATGACCTCAAAAAATGCTCACACACGTCACAACTTGCCATGGCTGAGGGACTTGGAGGACGCTTCTGTTCCTCATTTGTATGGGGAACATATGTGTTCGTCTCACCTCCCAAAGCCCGACATCTTTCTTAACTCTTTAAATGGACCGAATATTGGTTTGCCTTTGGGTTGAGCAGCTGTTCCTCCTGTGTTTGTCCTCACCACACCCTTGATCTTATTGCACCCTGGTTCTTGCCTAAACCACCCCCGATGGCCTGATATCTGAAGGGACAAATCTTGAGGGATACTTGAAATTCGCTTCTCCCCTCCCTGTTATCAGCAATCTCTCTACCTCTCCATGCTCTTTTCTGTTTTTTGATTTGTTTTCTGTTTTTCTTTTTTTTTGCTTTTTTACATCCTTCCCATCTTCAACTTCCAAAGTCTCCCCAGTCAATCAGGGCTCAGGGCTCCTTCACAATGATCTAAACGGCAATCATTCCCCTGAGTTTAGGGCTTGTATTTCAAAAACATTTCACATTGAGAAAGGAAAAAAATGGACTATTTAGTTTCTATCACACTGTAATAAGACACAAAAAATCAGTAGAAAGAAGAGAATGTGACACAGTATATACTATATCTCTGGAAGTGGATGGAATTGGAGGCGAATGCTATGTGCAGTATAACTGTGCCTACTTGAGCTTTGTGAAGTTCTCTTTCATTATTTTTAAAGATGGAGATGCTAATACCTGCCTCAGTGAGTGACTCTGAATATTTAACATGAGCCTTTAGCAACCAGTGAAAACCAGTATCCCCCTACTCCCTCTGTCTCCTCTCTCAGGCATTCTCAGAAGGGATCATTCAAATTCAGATTGTCCTCAAATTTGTATTAGTAATGATCTTTCCTTGTCATTGCCTCACTGATACTCAGACCACAACTGTGAGGGAAACAAGGACACAAGGATTTTCCACATAACAGATGAGCATAAAAACAACACAAATGCACTGCGTGACTAACTCAAGGTATTATGATGGCAAAAATATTTCTAGAATCCATGGCATTCGCTGATGTTTTCGTTTTGTTCTTCACCTGCCATCATGTTTAGGAAAATCTTCTTTTCATTCCATCACACAGCTTCTGGAAGCTAGGATTGTGACTATTGACTAGGGAAAAATCTAGAGGGCTAATTCTGGGGTAGAGTTGGGACTCCTTTGAAAGCTGCTTCAGGAGTCAGAGCTGGGAGATCATGGGCTTGAGCACTCACCACAAGCAGAACTAACCTCTGAGCATCAAGTGAGACTGTGGAAGCTCACTTCAGCATGTCCCTGCCTTCTTGGCATTAACATCTTCTTGGTCCTGGGACTGGAATGCTGCCTCTCTCTTTGTAACCTGATCAACTCCAGGAAGTGAAGGAATAGAGGGGGACTGAGAGTCTCTGATGAACAATTACCCAGGTATTTACATCACTCCTTCTCAATGTCCAGGGACCTGCAAGGAAAAGAAGCAAGGGTATAGGGTCAGTATCTCTGTGTAATGAGTGCAATAATAGTATGTACCTTCTATGAGAATGAAAAAATTGATATATACAAATTGCTTAGAAAAGTGTCTGGTTCATAAAAAAGGCACTAGAATGGTTAGCAAATACGGTAACTATTATAGGACAGTTGCTTCCTGGAGAAATAATATATTAATCCACTATGGGCATCAACTATCACTTTTATAAAATTGCATTTCAGAAGTAGTGAGCAGGGCACAGAATTGTTAGTATCCAGAGAACATCAAGAGTGTTTAATACCAGGAGATGACAGAATCCAAGAGGTTAAACTATTGTAAGAGAAGTTTAAAGATTGAATTGGAAGCAGAGGAGGGGGAGACTGATCAGAAGGTATGATGAGTAAGGCTTTGAAGCATAAGGTGACTAGAGAGATCTAGCAAAAAGTGAGCATTTCCAGAACTCAATGTTAAAGAGAAATTAAAATTGCTACAACAAGCAGTTCTGATTATTTGTGGGTTACCATGTTGTTGGCTAATTTTCTGACCGATAAGAAAGAGAAAGAGAGAGAAAAAGAACACATTTGGCTTGAAAATCCACCATGATCCACTTATAGGACTTTTAAAAATTCTTTTGAAATATACTTTTTGTGCTGCTGGTTTAACAAGAAAGAAGAAAGCTTTGCATCATCAGTGAGAAGATGTTTTAAATGATAGGTTATGTGGGTAGATTGGATCCAGACATACGTGAAGCCAGCAATGAGCTGAGATACTTGAAGAGAATGGAGGGATTAAGTGAGACATGGCCTTAATACAGTCAGATAAATCTAGTGTGAATAAGACAACTTCACCGGAATTGAAGATCAGAAGCTGTGACGTAAGCTCATTGAATGGATGATGCATATGGACGCTGAGCTGAATTTGG